TTTTTTTTTTTTTTTTTTTTTTTTTGGTGGCTGGCTGGTGCAGGGATCTGAACTCTTGACCTTGGTGTTAAACTGTGCTCTAGAGCCGAGCCCATGGTGCACTCTGGAGAGTGTGGCGCTGGAAGCGCAGCTCCCGCCGCGGGTTCGGATCCTATATAGGAATGGCCGGTGCGCTCACTGGCTGAGCACGGTGTGGGCGACACCACACCAAGGGTTGCGATCCCCTTACCGGTCACGAAAAAGACAAAAAAAAACAAAACTGTGCTCTAACCAAGTGAGCTAATCGGCCACCCATATAGGTGTGTCTTTTACATGTGTGTCTCCCCTACTTGATGGTCTGAGTATTAGGTGGGTAGGTACTGTATCTTCACCTCTTTTACCCCCAGGACACAGCACGGTGTTTCACAGGGCAACAGATATAACAGTGATACCAATAACAGGATTTTTTTTTTTTAAAGGGACTAAAGGTACTCTCTAACTCAGCTGGGCTAGACCCTAAAAAGCCACGAACAAAACAGTAGGTGTTAAGTACTTCCATATTTCAAGGGGAGATGCTAGACCAGCTAAACAGGACTTGCAAAGGAGATGATCAAAAATTGGTTTTGCAACTTTTAGAGCAACACCAAAGTTGAAGATGCTTGAGGCTGTGTCTGCTCAGAGAGCTTTCTTACAACTCACACAAAGGAAGGGTGAGGTAGCAGTGTCAAAGATAAGTGTTCTCCCAGGACCAGGTGTGACTGGAACTCACACAGGAATGCTGTCTTCGTGTTTTGTTTTGTCTAGTGTTGTTTTTGAGGAGATCCTGTCTGAGATGGCTTCCTGTGAGGGTCGAAGAGACCTCGGCAGAAAGAAGCTAGAGTGTGGTGCTGGGTGCAGAGGTTGATGGGTTGTGAGGGGCCAACAGAGGGAGGGGACTGCCTGAGTCTATAGCTGCAGTCGCATTGGCCTGTGAAGATGCCCATAGGAGAAAGAGCCAGCTTTAAAGACTGCTTTGGAGACAGACAGGTAAGAACTTTATTGCTTCCTCCTCTCTATGCCCCCAGCCCTGGGTTTTATGGATAGGGGAAGAAAGGATAAAATTGTTTTCCTCTGTACCCTGCAGGGTTCTGCTCTTTCACGCTAACACATTACAGTAAAAAGGCCGTCAGGAAGCCAAAGGAAGAGCCAGCTGAGAGGGCGGTCTTCCAGGACCCAGGCAGGGTGACTGGATATGGTTTTCTATCAGTGGCCCTTCCTGCCCCCATAAGAAAGCCCCCTGACTTTCTTAGAAGATCCTCCTGACTCTAAAACCAACCTACCAAGAACTATTTGCCCTGGCTGCCAGGAAGCTGAGAGACACGTCTGAGGTTTAATCCTGGGAACTTAATTAGCCCATGAAGTTAACCTGTGTTCTTTTTCTTCTATTGCTTTGATTTTTCTATCTCAGTATTGTGTATGTGTCCCTTATTTTAAGTCTTTCATTCGTCTTTGGAAAGAAGGACGGCATAAATAAAGCATCTCAACACTTACTGGTCCCAACCCTAGATGGAGTAGCCAGGAGTCACACAGACGGCACATCTTTGGTGGGCCACCCTCCCCCGGCTCATGCACTGGCGCTAGTTTCCCCCGTTTCGGTGTGAGGATGCCAGTGCAGCAGAAAGAGCACTGGGCTCAGGCTGGGAGCCCGCGACCGCGTACCTCGTCTGACCCCTCCAGCCCCGGGGGCACGGAGCGCCCCTCCCGCCCGCGCCGCCAGACCGGCCCCGCCCCTCCTCCTCTCTCACTTCCGGATTCCTTTTCCCCCTTCACGGCTGCATCAGTTTGTCATAATCCGATCTTACCTGAGTCACGATGTAAACTAGGGGAGTTCCCGGGACGTTCTCGTGAGCGCTTGAGAAAGTACCTGGTAAACCGGGTCTTGCCGGGTGGCGGCTCCCGTGCCGGGGTTTTCCTTTCGCTTCGTAGCACCGTAAACCCGTCTTCAGAAATGGTCAGCCAGGGATGGCAGGTGTCCTCGTCCAGGTGGAAGTAGCTTCCTGTGGGGGAGGGGACACACGCAGGACCCCGGCCAGTCACTGCACTGCTCTCCGCGGGCCCCGGGGGTTCCTGCCGTCAGCCCGAAGCTTGCGCCCGTGCGCCTGGTACCGAGCCGAGCACGTTGCAGGTCTTACTCCTTCAGTCCTCACAATTGCCCTCAGAAGCAGGTGTTACCATTTTGTTTTGTAGATGAGGAAACTGAGGTACAGGGCGGCTAAGAAACCCGGGGGTAAATGACAGAACTCGAACCTCAACCCCAAGCCCCTCTGATTCTAGAGGCTGGCTGCAAATGCCGCACACGGACAAGATTTCTAACCTGCTTGCCAAGGGAAATAGCAATTGAGGGACTCTTAACGATCCATTTGACAAAGGTTAGCAAAGTTCAACATTCACCTTGCAATCGGGCGGTAGCAGAGAAGGAAGGAGATTGCAGTCATCCTCAAATCATGGTTAAAATGAACCTCACCAAAGAGTGGTACGGAATAGAGCCAATAAAAAATTATTTAATAAAGAAGATCGTTACTTAACAGCACAGCAATTCATTCTTGATTACTGTCTCTTAGCCAAGCTCTTCTTTTCTTATGTTTTTTCTGGGTTTTTTTGGCAGCTGGCCTGTACAGGGATCCAAACCCTTGACCTTGGTGTGTTATCAGCACCGTGCTCTCCCAAGTGAGCCACAGCCAGCGAAGCTTTTCTTAAGTTCCCATTCTATCACTCCTCATTGTCTCAAAATCTACTTCAAGCATTACCATTTTGGGGCTCAGAAAATGATACCCCAAAGCACAGCACTTTGACATGCTGAGTACTTTGAACTAAAGAAGCAGCCTCAGAACCAAGGTTTTTATGAGCTTCCCCTACCGCCATCTTTCCATCCTCTCTCCCTTCAGAAGCACAGGAAGGGGCTTCCTCTGAAGTTCCTTTATCTGACTAGGGGAAATTCCTCCAGAAGGAGTGCAACTGTCCTGAATTCCCTCCCTGTAATCGACATTAACCAGAAATATTAACTCGTACTGCAGGAGAGGAGACTAGGGGTGTCCACACCCAGGCCACCACACCCAGGCAGACTTTTCACCTATTCTTCTGAGGGCTGCTACCTTAGAAACTTCATGTGCTTAGTAAGACAACCTTTGTTCACGGTGCAGTTCCTCCCTTTACCCACCCATAGGCTTGTTGCCACCAACCTCAAGGAGGCTCCAAGCTTCTATTCTGTAGTCATTTTTTTTTTTTTCTTTTTTGGCAGCTGGCCAGTACAGGAATCAAACCCTGGACCTCGGGGTTTTCAGCACTATGCTCTACCCAACTGAGCTAACTGGCCAGCCCTCAAGCCCCTATTTCTTCCTTTAACTCAAAATGCTATTTAAACTTCAGCCATCTGGCCCTTCTTGGAGTCTTATATTTTATGAGGTTCCCAGGAATATGCATGTAATAAATTTGTATGCCTTTTCTTCTATTAATCTATTGTTAATTTATGCCAGAGACTCAAACTATCAAAACTTCAGAGAATAGAGGGAAAATTTAAAATTCCCCTATACCATCAAACTATTCACAATTATTTTCACAATTTGCTGTTGCTGGAAATTTCACTTAGGGGACTATTTGAGTTGACTGGTGAGGGGAAGGCATGTTCCCACCTTGCAACTAACACAAAAAATGTGGCCCTTACTACCTGCTTTGTAATCCCAAACAAGGATCATTTTTGAATATATAATTTTTTTCTGATTCACGTTCATTTAAGTTTCTTATAAGTACTCTCTTAAAAAATTATTTGAAAGGGCCGGCCCGGTGGCGCACTGGATAAGTGCGCCACTTGGGAAGCGCGGCGGCGCTCCCGCCCGAGGGTTCGGATCCCACATGCAGACCGGTTCCCGCTCACTGGCTGAGCGAGGTGCGGGAGGGAGCAACACCAAGGGTTGCGATCCCGTTGCCGGTCCCTGGTCCGGTACGGGGGCAACACTGAGGGTTGCAATCCGTTGCCAGACACGGAAAAAGACAAAAGAAAAAAAAAAAAAAAAAAATTATTTGAAGAAGGGCTGGCCCATGGCTCACTCGGGAGAGTGCGGTGCTAATAACACCAAGGCCCCGGTTCGGATCTCACATAGGGATGGCCGGTTTGCTCACTTGGGAGAGCGTGGTGCTGACAACACCAAGTCAAGGGTTAATATCCCCTTACCAGTCATCTTTAAAAAAAAAAAAATTATTTGAAGAAACTCATTAGAGATGACTGAGTAATCAAGAGCTGGCTGTACCTTTTGCTCTATGTTTTCTTTTATTGAAACAACCAGAATTTAACATTTCAAAACAGCAAGTCAGCACAGGAAGTTAGAAGTACCAGACAATTGAAAGAAGACCCTAGCACAAGATGAAAGAAAAACCTGAGTCCTAATCCTAGTGCTAATCCCTACCAGCTCTGGGTCTTAGGTGCCCACTTAACTTGTTTTCCCACCTGTGTGGAAGGAATGTAAGTGGGGGCTAATCATATAGCTCTCCTCTTGGCATTGGAAATGAAAACGAAATACTGCAATGTCTCTTAGTGAAAGATCCCAGTCAAGGGAATGTTGTCCCTGAACCCTGGGCCCAGGCTTCCTGCTTCTGCTTCTTACCTGCAAGTCATCCAACCAGCCGGCCTAAGCTGGATTAGCTCTGTGAGGTGTGGGAAGAGCCGGATGGCTTCAGTGCACATGGGCAGAGCTCAGAACCCAGAGCCACGGCAGTGCAGGGACAGCAGGAAAGGAATGGAAGGTTTCTAGTGAAGTGTCTGCTAACTCAAGACTTGAACATGAGATGTGACAGTTCTATGACACAATGGCAGTGAGAAGGAGGAATGCTGTGGATTGAATGTCCCCCCAAAACTTATTGAAGCTTGATCCCCACTGTAACAGTGTTAAGAGGGTGGGAACTTTGATTATGATATTTAAAAGGTGGGGGTCTTTGAGAGGTGATGGGATTGTGGGGATAATGTCCTCGTGAGTGGATGAATCCATTCATGGAGTAGTGGGTTAATGGGTTATCGGGGAGTGGTTCTGATGGCTTTATAAGGAGAGCAAGTGAGCATGTTAACTCGCCTGCATCACCACAGGACTCTGTACAGAGCCCCCACCGAGAAGGCCTTCACCAGATGCACTCCCCAGACTGTGAACTTCCCAGCCTCCAGAACTGTAAGAAATAAATTTCATTTCTTTATAAATTACCCGGTTTCAGATATTGCTATCAGCAATGGAAAATGAACTAATACAGGAAAGGAGCTGGAACCAGGGATGTGAGCACCCATAAGGCCATATGGGGCCTGGGAGGGGACTGGGCAGCAGGGTCTAAGTTGGGCCTTTGGATGGGGAGATGCCTGGGCTGACAGCAGGAACAAGGAGGGGAGTCAAGGTTAATGGCTCTTTCTGGGAATTTCATATCTGGGCCACCAAGGTCCAGTGTGACAAGCCTCTAGTCCACATAAGGGGTATGGAGAAAAACCTTGAATTCTAATGCTTGCTCAGCCACCAAGTTGCTGTGTGACTTGGGTCTTTAGTCTCTCCATCTGTAAAATGGAACCACAGAGGTTTGATCACCGCTCAGATCTTTCTCAGCCTGACTTGCTATATGTCCATATCTATTATAGTTATCTATTTTACAGTGAAGTCATAGCAGCACTGGGTCTGTCACAAAGTGGCCACTTTGGGTTCCAGAGAGTGTGTGGCCTGGGACACAGACCTGTGGTGTGGACTGTAGCAGGCTCACTCCTCGCGCTGGGGCCTCCCACGTTGAGGGCTCGCACGAAGATCATGTAGCTTTGCCTGGGCTGCAGCTGCACCAGGGCCTCGCAGGTTGGGATGCCCACAACAGACCTGGGCAAGGAAGCAGAGCCACAGTCAGTGTGGGGCCAGGGCATCTGGGCCCAAGCACCAGGCATCCCTTTCAAAGCTGGGCATTTAACTCACTCTTGCATCCCTGTCCTCTGACCCCCAGCAGCACAGCCAGAAGTGTTGTCCCCCCAACCCCCACCCTTAGTGTTCTCTCCCACAGCCTCTGGTCCACTTTTCTCACTTCATTGTTACTCCTTGTGATCACGGTTTTTTCCCCCTCCGAACTCCCCATGCTGGTGTCCCATGCACCTAGTGCTGTGCTTGGTGTGCGTCCAATGCTGCATCAGGAGTGTGCATGTGGTAGAACCCAGTGTGCCACCACCTGTCTGTTAGGATCATAACCCCTCTGAGGGCAGGAGCTGAGTACCACTAACCTCAGGACAGTGCTGGGCCCATAGAAGTCCTTGATCTGTGTTTATGAACAAATGATGGATTAGAGCTGAAAGGGCTCACGGTGCCCACTGCTGTAAACCCCCTTGAGGACAGCTGCCTATGGGAAGTAATCCAATTTATTTAAATTGTCTTATACAGGAATATAAGCCCATAATCACCTATCTGTATTACTGTGGTTGTCAACACCATTTCAGTCCAACGGGCAAGAGAAGTCTTCAGGGTGATGCCCATTTACAGATACAACACCCTCACCCAGACAAAGCCAGGATGTCATCTTGGGGTCATCTCGGTGGGCTACAGCTGCAGGCCAGAGGGATGCTTTTGCTTTTCCATCAATAAATATTAACTAAGCACCTTAGGTTCCAGGCACTGCATAGAGGCCCTGGGGCAAACTGAACGTGGTCCTCGCCCTCACAAAGCTTACAGTCTAGATGGGAACAGAAGCATTCTTCAAGCAATCACTGAAGAAACGTAAGATGGTAACCATGACAAGTTAACAGTGTGCTACAGAGTGTATAATGGGGTGGGGGATGCTTTTTGAGCTGAGCTCTGAAAAATGACTAGGGGAAAACTAGGTGAAAAGGGGATATAGGAGTCTCCCACACAGAAGGAGAAGCATGTGCAAAGGTCCTGTGGCAGGAAGGAGCATGGAAAGTAGGAGGAACTAAAATATGACCAATGTGGCTGTAGTTGGAGAGGAAGAGGAGCTGGTGTGGTGTGAGCTTTAGTGGCAGGAAAGGGCTAGAGTTTTGCCTTTTCTACAGCAGTGGTTTGCCATGATTAGATTTGTATTAGGAGAGTAAGTGTCACCTCAGATCACTCAGGTCACTGACCAGTCTTCTGATGACCCCATCATTATGGGTTAGTCCCAGGCATTGGGTGCTACTGAAGTATCAGCACAAATTTCAAAAGAAACCTGAACCACTAGGATGGCCAGAACCACTGGACCCCCTGCCCCACTCCTGAGTCTCTCCACAAGTAAATTACCAAGGTCAGCCTTGATGTGGCTATGGACACGTAGATTCCACTGGAAACAGATGGGTGGGCAGGATGCATGGCCAGGTTCCAAGCCCAGCACTTAGCATAGAAGAATCTGCCTCTCTATAAGTTGACACCAAACCCCTCCTCTGCTTTTCCAGATCCAGCCCAGCGCACCCCTGTGCCCCACAGCATCACAGCCCCTGCACTAGGTGGCTGGTGCTGAGCTGCTTGACTGCTTCATTCCCCTTCCATAAGCTTCTGGATGGCCTGGTTGTAAGTACAGACGTATACCCACGCTTCCTCCACTGTCCACAATGTAGACCCTGCGATCTGCAGGCCCTGGTGGTCACTGGGTCTGGCTCTTTGGCAACCAAGGGTGAACATGAACCTCCAGACGAGCTTCTACGATGGACACAGAGTTCTCTGCCTATGGAATGGCACTCTCTTTTGTTGCAACCCCCCTTTCCCAGGGGTGCCCCTGCACCCACTGTTCTCAGGCTCAGCCCTTCCCATATATTCAGTTCAAACTTCCGCTCTATCCAAAGTAGGTCCCACCTCCACCACCACTGTCCGCTTCCTTGCATTTCTTTTTCTTCCTAGCACTGGGTCTTTTACACATAAGTTTGTTTTCTTGGTTTCTGCCTTTTTCCCCACTTGACTCTCCGCTCCATAAGGGCAGGGAATTTGTGTCTCATTCCCCAGTGCCCTGCACAGGACTGGCACCACGTAAGGGCTCAATACTCGTGAAATGAATACGTGGGAAACCTTAGTTGGGTTAAAAAAAAAAAAATCAAACCTGAGGTTTAACCCTGTATTCACTTACTCATCCATCATTCACCTTCCATAATAGCATTCCAGCTACCTCTCGCGAAAATTAAGTGGCCTAAAATCAAGATTCCTCTGTGTCACGATTTCTGATCTCTCCAGACTCCATCCCTGTCCTAAGCCATGTCACTGTGGCAGGTGTCGGGGCCTCTCATGCCCAGCGATGGCCCTGGCAACTCACTCGGTTACTCCCGAGGCTCCCGGCATTTCTGCCTGGGTCAGCTCCAGCGTGTACGAGTCCACAGGGTTCAGGCTCCCAGACTCCCAGCAGATCACTGCAGCCTCTTCGCAGCTCCTTATCTCTTTGCTTCTTATCATGGGGGGAGAAGGTGCTAAATACAGGAGAAAGGGAGGGATGAATAGCCCTTGTGTTCACTTCCAGCTATTTTGTTCAGAGCCAGGGACAAACATCACTCTCTTCCTCCCACAAAAGGGATTCAGTGTAATAAAAAGCAAACCAGGGAACCCTTTGCAGTTGCTCCTGGAGTGAAGGATGGTTGCCAGATTCAAACGTCAGTGTCAGCAAGTATGGCATTTTTTGATATTTTGAGACCAATTGTGAGAAAATGTCCCTGCCATACCAAGCATGCACATTTGGTGTATTAAATGAAATAAAATATTTACACAGTTCTTCCTGCCCTTCCAAATGAAATCAAGAGCACTGCCATGTCTAGAAACCCGTGACTCCTGTGTCCCCTGCCATGTCTAGGAACACATGACGCCTGTGTCCCCTTGAATGAAGGCCCTGATACAGAAAATGAGTGGCCCCCCATTACCTGTCAGGTACACTGCACGCTCACTGGAGGGGCTGAGGCCAGCCCTGTTCTGAGCTGTGACCCAAAACTCATACTGGGTATTTGGCACAAGGTTTGTCACTGAGCAATACGTTTCTTTGACGGTCATTGTAAACTCTGGGGGAAAAAAAAAACAAAACCAAGAATTTAACCCTGAAAATAGACAAAGTGGCTCCAGATTCATTGTGCTGAATTTCACTGTAGTAGGTTACAATACTGGCTGCAAATTCCTCCCGTGGCTGTATGCGTGCCCCTCTGCAATGTGACTCTGCTGCTCCTTGCATTAAGAGGTTCCATCTTGCTTGCTTTTCCTGGGAGCTGGGCTTTAGCTATGTGACTTGCTTGGGCCAACGTGACAATAGCAACATGATGCAGGCAGAGGTTTGGGAAGTGCTGGTGCATAGGGGCTTGTCCTCTTGCTGCTGGGAATGCTTCCAGTGCCCTGTGAACAAGTCCAAGCCAGCCTCTTGGAGGATGTGAGACCACATGGTAAGAGACCCCAGTCACTCATCATCCAAACTACCTAGTTGAGGTGACATGTAAGTGAGTCCATCTGAGACCATCCAGCCCTACCCAAGAGCTCCAACAGGAGAATGGTTTATCAATTATTGGGGGAGGGGGGATGCTACCCCAACCCTAATCCCACACTAGCCAGCCCCATTTCCCTGGGAAAAGGTTGGGCCAAGAGCTGCCCACAGTGGAGGCTGGGGGCCATTCCTAGGAGCTGTTTCAATCTGAAAATTAAGACCTGACCAGCAGCAGCCCTTCCAGGCCTCACCCCTCATGGGGTCTGTAGACTAATCCTCCAGTTTTTCCTGTAGCACACCTTGCTGTGAGAAGAGCCAACCTAACCCTCATGTGCTAGGACATGTTAGAATCCAACCAGCCAGCTGGGCCTCCTCAACAAGGGGTGTCCCCAGTCCTTCCTGCACACAGTGCAGCCATAGACTGATCCCAGGGACAACTCTGACCAACAGCTATAGACACGCTCCAGACTACCAGGAAAGCAGAGCATGGGCTTATGAGGGGCCTGAACTGTTCCGCGAGTGTGAGCATGTTCCTGGCAGAGTCTCACCTGCCTGGTCCTTCCCAGGTGAACTGTCCTGCACTGGCCGGTAGGACAACTGATAACTCTCCACAGTGTCATCGGAGTATAAGCTCCAGCAAACTCGGACCGAAGAACCCGTGGCTGAGTTAGGGGCCTGTGGATTTATCACTGGAGCAGAAGGAGCTAGAAAAGGAAGAGAGAGAAAACAAACAAAAAAAATGAGCAGGCATGAGTAGAGGTGTGGGATGCGAGTGGCCTCTTTTAAGGGTCCATTGATCCCCCCAGTGCATTCATGGCTTTGGGGGAATAGAAGAGGCAGCCTGGAGTGGACAAGGATGGGGAGGCAAAAACTCTCAGCCATGAGCCTGCAGAGAACAGCGAGTCTATCCATTCCTGCTCTGACAAATACAGATGATCTTGGCGGACAGGGTTGCTGACAGGAACTCAGGCTGGGGTGCAGTGTGCAAGTCCTGCCCCAGGGTTTGGGTTCTCTGACCCTTCCATGGCATCTAAAGAGGTAGGACAGCCAGGATCATCGGGATCACAGGGCTGCCCCAGCCCTGGAGTGAACAGGGAGAAAGAGGCCTTCAACAGGGATGCTCTGCTTTTACTGGGGGCATCCACTGTCCGTCTCCCACACTACAGTGAGAGAAGATTTGGGTGGCCAAGTTGTGCTTTTCAGAACCAGCTTCTTAAGAGTCCGTCTACTAAGTTAATTCTTTTCTTCTCTGTAGGTTAATACTTCTGCCTCCTCCATCTCCACACAGACTCACACACCACTGAGAAGAAAAACAAGTGTTTTCCCTCCATAATTCTTCTCCCATGACAGCACGTCCCTCCATCCCAGGCTTTTAAGAACATCTGTAGTTTCCAAACTCTAAATTGATCAATCCAGGTAGAGCGCAGCTAAACTTCAAGGAGTTTACTTAGCCACAGCTCATCCTTTTCTTTCTGGCCGGAAAAACCACAATGAGACAGAGATGAGGAGGAAGACAAAGAACCTATATCCCCAAGGGCTGGCCTGTGACTCACTTGGGAGAGCGTGGTGCCGACAACACCAAGTCAAGGGTTCAGATCCCCTTACCGGTCATCTTTAAAAAAAAAGAAAAAGAAAAAGAAAAAGAACCTATATCGCCAAATGATGAAGTCCAGGGTGCACAGAAGATGCCCTTCTCTACACTGTCAAGAACAGCCCCCCTAGAGATGCAGTGTAAGAGGAGAGATGATTCTAGAAGCTTTTAACTGCTCAGGAGGCACCAGATACAAGCAGGAGGGTGGTGGTCTGCTTGGGAACTGGGCACAGGAGTGTGAGGAAAAATGTCCTTGCTTCTCAAGCATGTATTTGGGTGATGGAACCTTTCCTTCTAAGTGATGAGGCCTCATTATTTGGGCAGCACCATCTCTAGAAAGGAGAAAGGACAATCCGGTGGACATCATAGCCCTGTGAAATGTGCCCCTGACCCAGTGATTCTAAGAATGGCCCCCAATATTTAGGATTAAAGATATTCATTACAATGTGGTTTAAAATGGCAAACAAAACAAAACAAAACAAAACAAACAAAAAACCACCTAGAAACATCCCAATATCCAACAATTGAGGATCAAGTAAACAAATTAGGGTATGCAGCCATTAAAATGATGTTGCAGGGCTGGCTGGTTAGCTCACTTGGTTGGAGCGTAGTGTTGATAACATCAATCACCGGGGCTGAGGGTGTGGATCCCCATACTGGCCAGCCACCAAAAAATAAAAATAAAAAAAGATGTTGCAGAAGAATTTATCAGTCTGAGAAAATATCTATCATAATTGTTTTGCTTAGAAAAGCACATTACAAAACAGAATCATTTCTTTTTTGTTCGTTTTTGTCTTTGGTGGCTGGCCAGTACTGGGATCCGAACCCTTGACCTTGGTAGTATAACACTGTGCTCTAACCAACTCAGCTAACTGGCCAGCCTTCGATTTCATTTTTATATATAAAAAAAAAAATCTGTGCAAGGAAAAACCTAAAGTGATATACACAACATTGTTCACAATTATGTTATTGGATGTTGGGGAGAAAGGGAAGGTGAACCGTCAGAAAAAGTTGAATTCTAGTATTATAAATAAATAATCACAATAATATTTTAAGGAGCTACTTGGCACCACATAATGTGCTATACATACATTACCTCACTTAATTCTCACCATTTCCCCATGACTCTTAGGCATTATAATGTCCATTTTACAGACGAAGAAACCAAGACTCAGGTTAGGTAAATTGTCCAGGGTCACACAGCTAAGAAGTGGTAGAGCTGGATTCTCACCAGCTCTATAGAATTCCAAAGCCCATCTCTTAACCATTATGCTAAAAACAGCTACCCAGGAAGAACAAAAATACATTGAAGGAAATAAAATTCAGGCTTCTTGCTTGGTGTAAATTAGGCAGGAAGGCAGGTGTTTAGGAAGCTGGGCAGGCTATGAACAGAAAATATCTCAAGGCTGCCTACAGCCAGGTGCTGGCACCGTAGAGAGTGAGGGTGGTCACTTACCCTGGGGAGGTCAACCTCTGTTTTCACACTTACAAGCCATAAGGACAAAAATAGGAAGATCGAGGGGGAAAAAATACTTTTTTCTAAACGTTTATGATTTTTTTTAGACATTAAAGTTTCTAACTCAAAGCTCAGGGAGTCTTTAGTGTTTTCTCCAATAAGGTCATGTCATCCATAAACAGACGTTTTTATTTCTTCCTTTCCAACACGAATGCCTTTTATTTCTTTTTCTCACCTACTTGCTCTGGCTAGCACTTCCAGTACTGTGCTGAATAGCAGTGTTGAGAGTGGGTGTTCTTGCTTGTTCCATCCACATCTGAGAGGAAAAGCTTTCAGTTTTTCACTGCTGGATATGATGCTAGCTGTGGGCTTGTCATACACGGCCTGTATTATGTTGAGGTACATTCCTTTTATAGTTAATTTATTGAGTGTTTTTATTATGTTTTGTCATATGCTTTTTCTACATCTACTGAGATGATCATATGATTTTTATCCTTCTTTCTGTTAATGTGGGGTATCACGTTTATTGATTTGCAGATGTTGAACCCATCCTCGAATCCCAGGGATAAATCCCACTTGATCATGGTGTATGATCCTTGTAATGTATTGTTTGATTCAGTTTGCTAGAATTATTGAGGATTTGTTGTTGTTGTTGTTGAGGATTTTTGCATCTATGTTCATCAGGGACATTGACCTGCAATTTTCTTTCCTTGTAATATCTTTGTCTATCTTTGGTATCAGGGTAATGTTGACCTCATAAAATAAATTTGGGAGTATTCTCTCCTCTTAAATTTTTTGGAAGAGTTTGAGAAGGAGTGGTATTAATTCTTCTTTAAATGTTTGGTAGAATTCACCATTGAAGCCATCTGCTCCTGGTTTTTCTTTGTTGAGAGGTTTTTGATTACTGATCCAATCTCTATACTCATCATTGGCCTGTTCATATTTTCTGTTTCTTCATGATTCAGTCTTGGCAGGTTGTATATTTCTAGGAATTTATTCATATCTTCTATCTTATCCAATTTTTTGGTATAGAAATGTTCACAGTATTCTCTTATGATCCTTTATATTTCTGTGGCATCACTTGTAATGTCTCTTCTTTTATTTCTAACTTATTTGAGTCTTCTCTCTCTTTTTCTTAGTCTAGCTAAAGGTTTGTCAATTTTGTTTATTTTGTAAACCACCAATTCTTATTTTTGTTGATCGTGATCTTTTCTATTGTTTTTCTAGTCTCCATTTCATTTATTTCTGCCCTAATCTTTATTATTTCCTTCCTTCTACTAAATTTGGGCTAAGATTTTTCTTCTTTTTCTGGTTCCTTGAGGCATAAGTTAGGTTGTTTATTTGAAATCTTTCTTTTTCTTTTTCTTTAGGCAGCTGGCTAGTAACAGGGATCAAACCCTGGACCTTGGTGTTATCAATACCATACTCTAACCTGAAATCTTCTTTGTTAATGTAGGTGTTTACTACTGTAAATTTCCCTTGTAGTACTGCTTTTGCTGCATCCTACAAGTTTTGATATGTTGTATTTCATTTTTCTCAAGATATTTTTTATTTCCCTGTGATTTCTTCTTTGACACATTAGTTGTTCAGAAGTGTATTGTTTAATTTCCACATAGCTGTGAATTTTCAAATTTTCTTCCTGTTATTGATTTCTAGTTTCATACCATTGTGAACAGAAAAGACACTTGATATGATTTTAATATTCTCAAATTTGTTAAGCTTTGTTTTGTGCCCTAACATGTGATCTATCTGGAGAACGTTACATGTGTGCTGGAGAAGAATGTGTATTCTGCTGTGTTGCATGGAATGTTCTATACATGTCTTTTAGGTCCATTTGGTCTGTAGTGTTACAATAGTGTCAAAAAGAATAAAATACTCAGGAATACTTAACCAAGGAGGTGAAAGACTTGTATACTGAAAGGTATAAAACAACTTATAAAAGAAATTAAAGCAGACACAAATAAATGGAAAGACATCCTGTGTGCATGGGCTGGAAAAATTAATATTGTAAAGTTCATATTACTCAAGGCAATCTGCAGATTCAATGCAATTCCTATTAAAATCCAACAGCATTTTTTTATGGAAATAGAAAAAACAATCTTAAAATTCATACAGAAGGCCAGCCCGTGGCTCACTCGGTAGAGTGCGGTGCTGATAACACCAAGGCCACGGGTTCGGATCCTATATAGGGATGGCCGGTTTGCTCACTGGCTGAGCGTGGTGCTGACAACACCAAGCCAAGGGTTGAGATCCCCTTACCGGTCATCTTTAAAAAAAAAAAAAAATAAATAAATAAAAAATATATATATATATATTCATACAGAACCACAAAAGAGCCCAAATAACCAAAGTGATCTTGGGAAAAGACAAAGCTGGAGCCATCACAATTCCTAGTTTCAAAATATGTGACAAAGCACAAGTAATTAAAACAGTATGGTACTGGCATAAAGACAGACATATAGATTAATGGAACAGAATAGATAGCCTAGATATAAACCCATGCATATACAGTCAACGGATCTTTCACAAAGATGTCAAGAATATACAATGGGGAAAGAAAATCTCTTCAACAAATGGTGCTGGGAAAACTGGGTATCCACATGCAGAAGAATGAAATTTGACCCCTATCTTACACCATACACAAAAATAAACTCGAGATGGATTAATGACTTAAACATAAGACCAGAAACAGTAAAATTCCTAGAAGACAACATAGGGGAAAAGCTTCTTGACATTAGTCTTGGCAATGATTTCTTGGATTTGACACCAAAAGCACAGGCAACAAAACAAAAAATAGGCAAATGGAACTACATCAAACTTAAAAGCTTCTGCATAGAATAATAGAAGAAGCATCTGATTTACAATAATAGGGGAGGACTTGATCATATCTGTCTCAGTACTGGACAGATCAGCTAGGCAAAGAACCGACAGAGGAACAGTTAATCTATGGTTATGGGGGGGAGGGAAAGGGGGAGGATGAGGGGAGAGGGGGGCGCCGGGAGGGGGAGGGGAGGGAGGAGATTGGATAAGGGGCATAAAGAATAAGTATGATTCGTAATAGTGAATATGCTAATAAAATTTTTTTTAAAGCTTCTGCATAGCAAAAAAAAAAAAAAAATCAGTGAAGGGATATAGAATAGGAAAAATATTTGTAAGCCATTTACCTGATAAGAAACTAACATTCAGAATATATAAGAATCTCCTACAACTCAATAGCAGAAAATCAAATAACAAAAAAATGGGCAAATGAGGCTGGCTGGTTATCTCAGTCGGTTAGAGCATCGTGTTAATAACACCACGGTCAAGGATTTGGATCCCCTCACCAGCCAGCCACCAAAAAAAGGGGGGGGGGGGGGGAAAGGACTTGAATAGATATTTCTCCAAGAAGACATATAGATGGGCACCAGGTATATGAAAGGGTGCTCAACACCTCTAATCATCAGGGAAATGCCAGATTAAAACCACAATGAGGTATCACCTCACATCTGCTAGGATGGCTATTACCAAAAAGCAAAAGATAACAAGCATTGGTGAGAATGTGGAGAACTGGAAGCCTTACATACTGTTGCTTGAAAACTGGTGCAGCCACAATGGAAAACAGTATGGTAGTTCCACAAAAAATTAAAAATAGAACTATTACGTAATCCAGGAATCCCACTTCTGGGTGTGTATCCAAAAGAATTGTGATCAGGATCTCAAAGACACATCTTCATTCCCGTGTTCATCTCAGCACTATTCACAACAGCCAATATATGGAAACAACCTAAATGTCCATCAACAGATGAGTGGATAAAGAAAATATGGTATATAAATACGATGGGATATTATTCAGCCTTAAAAACGATGGAAGCCCCATCATTTGTGACAACATGAATGAACCTACAGGACATTACGCTAAATGAAATAAGCCAGTCACAGAAGGACAAACACTGCATGATTCCACTTATATGAGGGACATGAACTAGTCAAACTCCCAGAAGCAGAGAAGAGAACGGTGGTTGCCAGGGCCTGGGGGGAGGAGGAAATGGGGAATTGTTGCTCAGTGGGTATAAATGTTCAGTTCTGTAACATGAATAAGTTCTAGAGATGTGCTTTACAACATAGTACCTAAGGGAGCACTTCAAAAAGTTTGTGGGAAAATAGAATTAAAAGATAATTTCCTGGGCCGGCCCGGTGGCGCACTGGATAGTGCGCCGCTTGGGAAGCGCGGTGGCGCTCCCGTCCGAGGGTTCGGATCCCACATACAGACCGGCTCCCGCTCACTGGTTGAGCGAGGCGCGGGAGCAACGCCGAGGCTTGCGATCCCGTTGCCGGTCCCCGGTCCAGTACGGGGGCAACACTGAGGGTTGCGATCCGTTGCCGGACATGGAAAAAAAGACAAAAGACAAAAAAAAAAAAAAAAAAAAAAAAAA